TTTATTTGACAAGATATCTTCACGAATTTCGACATAGATAATTGTCCAAGGCAGCGCTTCAGCTGCGCAGAAGTTGTTTAGATCGGACCACTATAGCATATAGTTGCCATACAAACCAGCCGATCAAAATGGAGTTACGGTGTGGAAAACTATCTTATTTCAACTGAAGTTAACGTTTTTTCTTGTTTTTCGCTTTTACTAGAATCACGCTTTTTGTTCCTAGTTGATAACAAAAATTTAACATTTCACTAATTTTTCACATAATATACTGACAATTTAGCCACCGTGTGTATACGTAATTTACGCTCTAATCGCTTCAATTGCTTTGTTTTATAATTAGACACAATAACCCATATATAGTAAAACGGTGATAACAGAGCAGTTAATACTGACAGTCATATGCAACAGTGAAATTATATGCCTATATATATGTATATGTGTGTACACACCTATGTTTGTCAATATGTTTTTAATAATTGCGCACTTGGGATTATTGAAGCTGATAAAATATTATTCTTTTTGTGCCAACTGTTTATCAGCATTTTCTTAAATTGTTTTTCTTTTTGGAACAAGCGTTGTATTTGTTATCACTCGAATTGTGCTTGCGAATATGTTGTTTATTTACTAACATAAGAATGAGTACACGTACTGGAGTACCTGCCTGTACCTGATTATATCTACTCAAAAACATATTTACGTGCAAACCATCTGATTAAATTTAACCCGGACTAATAAACAAAACTACATGTGTACATAGTTTAGTACACAATTAATTTATGTCATTTTAATACACATGACAATTATATAATGCTATCGCCTAAGTTTTCGATGACTTCACAACCTTCACCGAATTCTTTGCACCACTGAAATATTTGTGTTCGTGATAAAGTAAACTCCCTATAATACTTCTACAACATTTTCAACGGTAAAAATTGCCAAAGAAACATTTCGCGTCGTAAGCAAGCATTTGCCAAACATACACTAATCGACATGCGGGTATTAAAATTCACACGAACATAAAAAGATTTTACTAAAAAATCAAAACAAATGGTTGGTGGTATGGCAGCTATATGATATATTGGTCTAATATTGGCCGTTCCGACAAATTATCAGCTTCTTAGTGAGAAAAGGACGATAGCTTAAAAACTGAGAGTATATATACAGACAGACGGACAAGGCTAAATCAACTTAGCTCATCATGCTGATCATTTATACATACATATTTTATAGGGTCTCCGACGTTTCCTGCTGGGTGTAACAAACTTCGTGGCAAACTTAATATACCATGTTCAGGGTATAAAAAGTACTTGCTATTCATATTATTCAAGAAACTCTCAAACTCTACATGGAAATCCCAGCCTGCTGCCTCCATACCCCAAACATAATTTTCTTTAATTACGATTGCTTTCACTTGAGGCACACACCACTTCCTAGCCGCTTACAACAAATATAACCCCAAATTTAACACAATACTAACACTGGAAGTAGTTTCATATGTATGTATGTATGTATGTATGTATGTATAAAGATACGAATTAATGTTAATTGCGGGCGACTAAACACGCTATAAAACACAAATGGGTGGATGGTTATTAATGGGCAGAAACCGTGAAATGTGAAATTCAATGCTCTACTTCCTTTGGATGTTAAACGAATGCATTTCGGCGTTTAATTAAAAATAAAATAATTATTTGTAATTTTAACAGCTACTTGCCACACGCACTTGCACTTAACGCAAACAAAATACCAAAATGTCGGCATACTTGCATACGAAAACACACAAAAAATTCCAAGTTGAAAAACAAAAACAAGCATGTCGAAACCATTTCTGTTTTATTTTCTGCATAATATCTCGGTTTTAGTGAAACTCCCACTCATAGACGAATTATATTTACATGCTCAGTTATACATATGCGTATGTATGTGCAAGGCAATAGTGAAACTACTTTCTAGTTCGCTCTTTCCTCAGTACAAATGCTGCATATTGATGGATAATCGCGCGCCAGGCAGGTAAAAGGCTCAACTGTGCTACTCCATTGCATGGCTAAGCACACACACCACCTTACATATGTATATACTGATGTTGAGTCTACGCTATGCAGCCGAAATATCAATAACGGATATGCAAAACAAAAAAGCGCAAATCAATCAAAATTTTATTTCGTCACAGTTGTTCGTATTAGCATTCGTTTTCGATTAGTTTCATTTTCCGTAGTCAATAATGTGTTTGGCGCCAAAGTAGTCAATGAACTGATCTCGCATGTATTAGTTAGTTTTGTTTTTATTACCTCAATTTGATTTGCGCAAACTCCAAATATGATAAATGCATTAAAACTTAAATGCACACATACACTGACATCTACATACATACATTTAAAGTTAATGTTTCTAACTATGCATATAAACCCTGTAGGAAATTTCAACATGAACACACCAATGATCATTTCGGAAATGTACTTAAGAGTCATCAAATATTAGCCATTGTCGTTCCGTCATTTCTCTGCTCACTATGCTTACGCGCCGTGCGTGGATATACTGTCTAGCCTTTTAAGCTGTCGGACTATTGCAGTATAATTCAACCAGAGCCTTTTGTTATTAGGAAACCCGCGGAGCCTCTATTGAATCAGCAGGCAACTCCAGAAAATAATATGTACGGGGAAAGCCAAGCAACAATCAAAACAAAAACGTCGTTTCGCATACCGACCAAAAGTGTCTTGGGAAGCAGAGCAGCTTTTACTGGATGCCAGGTTTCTAAGACATTCGTGGCAATGAGATAATGGACGAGATTACCAAGAAGGGTGTACGGCTGTCATCCAAAAACGTGACCGATGGTAAACCCATCGATTGTCTGTACGACGATCTAGACAGGAGCCATGGCAAGGAAGGTCAAAATGCAATGAAATTATCTACCTGGGTGGAAAACTGCAAAAGCCATATGTAAAACGGCAGTTCGAAATTATACAAAGTTCCTACTGACACTTGATGGAAGAAACTATAAGAACATGATTTGAATACTCACTCAATACAGGAGCAAGGCATCAGGGAAACAATGAAGCTTCTCTTGTGCACTTGTACCGCTTAGTTAACTAGCTCCCCAAACTATAGTCTAACCAATTTCCATTTCATCTCATTTGATTTATACCCGTTGTACGTTCGTTTCGGTATTCTTAAAGCTTGACGCATCGAAATCAACTTATAGTATTCTATTCGACTTCACAATTCTCCTAGAGAGAATACTGTTAATATAAATTTCCTTTATCATTACATCTCACCATACAAGTATATAAGTTGGGACAATTATGGCTATACTCGCATCAAAAACGTCTGTCTGGTATATTATATTATTATATATTAACTTTTCTGAATCATTTTACTTTTGCACTATCACATCGAATTTCATTCAATCCGTTCTGTTATGGAACAACTTACCTTAACCTAACCAACTGCTAACAAAGCATGAAAATCCTTTCAAAATTGTATTATATCTGAATGTAAACCCATTTAAAGTTGTTTTTGAGGGCAAAACTAATAAAATATATTTGCCTAGATATAAAAATCGAAAGAACTCGTATAAAGATCCGCATGTATTGTTTAAGAGGTCGTTTTTGAAGGATATTTGTACACTTTACTTCTTTTACTTAAAAAAATGTGTGCCCTCACAAAAGTCATTTCATTACCAACGGGTATTGAGTAAAATTATTTCCGGTACTGGTGTTTGAACAATCTAACTACATATAAATCGATCATTAGATTGTAAGAATAGATGTATGTATGTATCGAAAATAGCCTACTGCGACTATGTAGTGATAAATATTTCAAAGTTAAACACAAAAGAAATAAAGTATTTTTTATCGTAAAATTCGTAAAAGTGAATGACCTAAGGTAATATTGTCAACTCATAGTTATTTTTATCTTTCTTTCAATCTTTTTATTGCAATACCTTCACCAAACGTTAACGGAAGTTTAATTACCCATACAAATGCTGGTTCAAAAATTTAATAGCTAAAAAAAATATTTTTTTTTTTATTATATTTAGAAATTAATGATGTGTGTCAGATATATAGTGTTTTAAAAAGTGGAAAGAGACTTCTTCCAATAAACATAAAAAATGTATTTAATTTCTTAAAATCGATGAAATAATAGTAAATTTATACTAATTCAGTCATTAACCCTGCTGTATCATTTTTTTTTTTTTTTGTAGTTTAACTTTTTTTATATTTATACATATTTTAAGAATACACAGTTAAATTTTTGAAGAAAGCAATTTTATATTTTTCGAATTACATGCGATCTTTTTTTTTATAACTTATCGAAACTAGGAAAAATCGATTTTTTTAATTTCATACTAGGTGTGCCCCTTAATAATACCCACAGCTTTCGATTTGAGAAAGCTTAAGGTGGAAAATAGTTTCTATAAGTTTTAACTTCCTTCTTCTGGCGAGCAGTTCTATATAGACAATCTCCTACAGACATTCACTTCAATAACAGGTGAGCTTCACCACCAGTACATTAGGGTTGGATTTGTGATGATTTCAAGGAGCTTAGTCGGCACATTCGAATTTCCATCCATCTTCTGTAACTTTTGTTTAATCTTAAAGCAATTTAGTTATCCAACTATCACACACTATCGAAGATCGGTTGCCAAACCTAACCTTACCAATATCATGTGAAATAAAACAAAACGCATATTTTTTTTGTAGTTTGAAACTTTATTTGTAATTGTTGTGATTTCGTTCCACTTTTACAGTTCCATGCACTTGAACGAATCGATCGATTTAACGATATTTCGATTTTCTGCTTACAATCTCGTTTACTTTGTTGATTATATTGTATAGTATGTATTACATTGTATGGGTGTATGCGTGTGTGTGTGTATGTATTTGATTTTCTATTTTGCATTTTGCTTCTGGCATTGCATTTCGCAGAATTTGTTTAACTTTTTCTTCTCCTCCCTCCTGGCGTGTTTAACCACATTTATGTAAGTTACTACTATATTTTTGTTTTTTTTTTTTGCATTGCAAATTCTATTTGTTGCAACAATTATGAGACATTTGCATAATTTACTTTCTGTCTTTATGTCACCAGCCGTTCACCACACATTTACGTTTACATTTTTCTTTTATCTAAAAGTGCATAGTTTATGTTTTCGAATGATTTGCATTAGAGTTTTTGAGTGATTTCAAGTAGCTAAGTTTGTATTTAAGTGAGTATGAGTTTGTAATGACAAAACTTTTATACTAGATTTGCTTTCGTATGTGTAATTCATTTAATTTCAACTTCTTTGTGAACACACACTTATAACTACGAGGAGGTGTCACAAGTAAAATGTGTAATATACGAGAAAGCAAAATGAGGGGGAGAAAATATTATTATTTTTCTTTATATTTAAAGTTATATTGTATATAATAATTATACATATTTTTATATTTTCTTATAGCACGCTATAAAATATTTCGTCTACATTAATTTGTTATAAAAAAGGACAAGTTTAAATCAAATCCAGTCACTTGAAATCGGTACGTTTGCAGACAGACAAAGTTTACTTAAGTTTAAGTGAAAATTAAATGCGCACAACAAGTAACGGTATACTCGTCATATTTCCTATAATAATCTCAATAAAGTTGTATATATTTTATAGCAAGTATAATAAACTTTTTGCATGTCTTTTCATATAATTATGACAATAGAACATTCATAAGTATAAATTTCATGTGAGCATACCAATTTTTGTGTGTCATTGACTTGAAAAACAAAGTAAATATTGACACAGTGAACATTTTTATTTTTTTTTAAATTGTTTTCTTCAAATTTATTTATTTATTAACCTTTTCTTTATTTTTTATTTATTTAGCTTAACATACATAGCGTATAGTTTGTAAATATATACCGCAAGTGTGTTTAATATTACATAATTATATTGATAATATATAACAGTTGCGTTATTTAAAATGCATTTTTCGCATGGGTTCGTGTTAATTATATTTTTTTATTACAACTTTTCTTGGACAAAATCTATTTTTTAGTTATTATTCAAGTATTTTAATATTTTTTAGTTTAATTTTAAATGGCAGTTTAAAACCTTCCAACATGCTCCTTAAATGCTTACTGTATATTACTGCTTTCAACTAACTTGTTACGGTACTTTTGGTTACTCTTTAATGCTTTTTGTTGCAAGATTTTATTTGATTTTTTTATAATCTTCATTAATTTTTTCTTCATAATTTTTTATAACCTTGAATTACATATGTTGCAATCATTTGTGTTTTCAACATTATTATATTGTGTTAAATGGCTAAAATAAACGCGGCAGTCATTTGAAAAAGCACCCGAATTTTTGTATTTACTACTTGAGCAATTTTATGCATACCATAAAACAAAAAGTGAAAATTATATACATACACATTTCAAATACAAATTACATATTGGTTATTAATTAGAATACTCAAGCCAAACGCTATATTTTAACACACGAAAACAACCTTTAAAATTTCTTCTGATATATAAATATATAATATGTATATGTAAAAACATATTTTTGGAGCATTTTCGAACAAAAACTAGCTGATTTGAAACAGCTTTTTACAATAAAACTTTTGACTGCAGCTCACTGTTATTATTTTTTTTTTCTAAAAATTTTGAACATTTTTTTATAAAAGCCTTAAATGATAACCAACACTTCTGTATTGTTTGCAATTTATAAGAATTTCTAAGAAATTTTGAAAAATACACGTAAAATTTTTTGAAATCTTCAACTCAATGATTCATAGAATTTGTAAAAGAATTTATATTAAACAGTTTCATGGTTTGTATTGTCTGGTGTGTATTTGAAATATGCTAAAATATTGAATACGAGTACATTTCTTTTCAATTCATCTACGTTTTATATGGAATGGTTAAAAAAAATTCAAATTTTATTTGAAATGCACTAGGTAAAATTTTAGTAGAAATTAGGCAACTGTTCTAAAATAAACTAAAATCTTCAAAGTTAGAATTATGCACATTGCTTGTGAACAAATTTTTTATGCACCCAGATATAAACATATAAGCTAGCTTTCCATTCTACTACGAATTTTCTAATATTTCCGTTTAATTTTCTTTTGCTTTCTTCTTATTTTTTTTTTTACTTTGTTTATGCTTATAAATATCACCCTTAATATTTACGACTGTTTTTTAATTTTTTTTATCATTAATTTCTATTAATTGTTATTAAATATTTGTTAATGAAAAAACTTCAACTTCCTGCACATTTTTTCCTTCCTTCCCCCCATATATAATAATATGCCTGCAGTTGTAATATCTAAATGCACATATGAGTAGCAGCAACTTAGACTATGTTCCCACGAGGACACTTTTGTTGACCAAACCGATTTTTTGTAGACGATAGCAATAGCTCTAGGTTTCAAACGAATTTTTACATTATGTCCGGAAATATGTAAGTAAATATCCATAATATAATAGAAATGGTTTAGAAGAGGGTGAATAAGGATACAAATTAACTAAACAAAAAAATTTTTTTTGCACCGCGTACATGAAACGTACAAGAATTTTAAAATGTAATATGAAAGAAAATGCAAAAAATTGCGCGACACAAGTTGTCCGACTCGTGTCGCTTGTGTGAACGCAATGAGCGATACCAAACGAGAATTCGCCGATTATGAGCGACAAAACAGTCCTCGTGTGAATGCAGCCTTAGAAGTGTCTTTTATATTTCCTGCAGTTTCGAGTTTTAGCTGTTATTGTTATTATATCATATTTCAGTATGCATTCCATTGCCTTAACTGACTTTTAAATGCAACTTTTTTCTTCAAAATACTACAATTACTTGCTACGGTTGCCAAAAAATTGCTTTTCTGTTTATCGACTGCAGCAAACTCCGCCTAACTATGCGTTTGCTGGCTTCATACTTAACAAACTACAACTTTTGTGACATTTATTATAGCAAAAAAGCAACGCTGCGCATTAAAGTTGCTAAAGAAATAAAGAAAACCTCATTTTCAAACTTAATGTAAAATGATGTGCTCGCAGCCTCGTCTACAGCGATTTCGTTTATTTTGTAAATATAAAAAACATTTGGTTGTAATAATAAAAAAATTCGTTCATTTCATTATAAATGGTTCATTTCACAATTCAAATTGATATTTTTTTTTTGCTTTGCTTGTACATTTATGTATACATAAATATAACATATATATGGTATTTAAAATCTAACAAACATTTGCAATTATTAATTGAATGATGTACACATACAGTTTATATAAATGTTTATAATAAAATTTATGAATTCAATATTGTTTTATTAATTATTATTATTTGCATTATATTACTAGAATTCAAATACACAAATCGTGGCATGTTTAAAAATAATGTTGTGTATGTTTATGTGAGTACCTAGGTAAATATATATATATGCAGCTAATGAGACAAGAACTCATCAACTCATTAAAAGTGTTTACAAAACCTAACAAATACAGTCTCATTTCACATATACAATACATACACATATATATATCTTTTTGAATAACACTTCAATATAAAACTAACTAAAATACTTGAGATTATCGAAACGATTTTCGAGTATCTACTACATATATGTATGTGTGTCGGGGCGCTGGAATGAAAATGCATAATGGCTGTGTTTTTATTTTCGTTTTTTCTCTCCTATGTTTTCTTTTTTGCTTTAATTATATCATCATTATATTTCTTTGCTTTATATTTATATATTGTAGCTAACATATAACGTTTCTACACGCTTTTCGGTTTTTGAAACCAACAGTATTTTTATGTGCAATCCAGAAATTGTTTTCACTTGCTTTTATTTGGTTTTTAATGATTTTTATTATTCGCTAAAATATGCGTGTCGTTTTTGATTGTTTGTTTATATTTTTGAGAGTAGAAAAACTGTTGTAATGTAGGCAAGTGTGCCGCGGCTGCCGTAATCAATTTGAATTTCACAAGTTTTCCAAAGTAGCCAAATCAAAAACAAATGAGTTTTGGAAAACACGCTATTAATAACTTTTGGACGCACGCAATGTGCACCTTATGCCACATAATTTTGTTTTGTTATTGTTGTTAGGAGTCTCTCGCCACCTCTGCAACAACACAGGCTGTTCACAAGTATTCATTTTGTCTCTCCTCACTGCGTTTGTGGTTATTGCATTTGTTGCTTACATTTATATTGTTGTTGTTGGTGCTGCTTGCTTTGCTTCTTTGTTGGCGACATTTTAAAAATGTATTTCAATCTGTATTACTTAGTCTTGCTCCGTGGCACCCGGATAGTAATATGGCGGTGGGCGTTCGTACTCGGAGGCAGGTGGTGCCATTGGTGGATTCTGGTATCTCGGTGGGCCGCCATCCCAATGCCTGCAAAAGATGGACGCAAAAGAAAAAATATTTGAGTGCTAATTTTATTCGAAATTTAAACAGCCCACACATAGATGTATGTTTATATGTATACAGATTTATTTGGAGCAAGAAAATGAAACACAAACTTATGAGTTGCAGCGTGTCTGCGGCAATATATAAGCGGCTGTGGCTAGGAATGTTTGAAATGTTAAATATTAGTCATCGTGTGGGTGTCTTTTTTTGTTTTGCCACACATATATGCCAGAAGCATAACTGGCAGACAAGTAGTAAAATGTTAATACAAAAAGTGTTTAGCCGACAGTTTACGAATACATTAAGGCTTACGCTAGGCAATTTTATATGGCAGAATGAAAAATGTTTTTTCTAATTTTGAAACTAATGGCTAGTGTTAGTTTAAGAGCATATTTGAAATCAAATATTTGCTTATTTTTTATACAAAAGCAAGTATATTTTGATGATAGTGATGGTGATGATGATATCGTGGACTCGCGAAGAAGAGTATTTATTAGGTTTGTGCAGGAAATTAAGGCTGACAAAAAACATAGACTATTCTACCATTCTTTTTTATTATTTATAAATATATAGCACTTATTTGGAGAGATGAGTACAAACATTATATTGACACACGTAATAAAAATTAAATATACCATCGTATAAATTTGGTTCGGACTAACAAAGGAAAACAATTAAACTTTCACGTATTTCAATACAAATCTTAACTATCGCCTTCAAAATAAGCTTCTGAGCCAACCAATTTTCCTTGCACTTCTTATAAGCCTTGGCAAATTTAGGTTTATTCAGTTTCGATTCATTGTTGGAGCACCATTCGCTAGATTGTTCGACAGTTTCGACGTCATATATAAGTCTTGCTTGCAAAAGATTCAGATCTTTTGATACAAGTCACGCTTCATACCCAAAACATTAACCAAAAGGTGTTGAGTCGATCAGATATTTAAATCTTCTGCTATCTCTCTGATGCCAACACGATGACTTTCAAACACTGTTTCTTTAACATTTTCGATGTAAATGATTCCGTAGCCGTGATTCCATTTTTCGCGTCGTAAACAAACAGCTGCCAAACACACACTAATTGACATATAAAGATCAAATTTCACACGACATAAAAAAAGAAAACATTTAGGTAGTACCCATCAAGGGAAAAAATTTTATAGATTCAGTTAGCGCGTGCAAATGGACAAGTCCGGATCAAATTTGATCAGCTAGTATTTAACCGACATAAAAAGTGCTGAACCACAAATTTCTTTCGCAAAATTTCCATTGTTGAAATTTATTTTCTCATTAATAGCTTAAAAATTAATCCAATTCGACAAATAAAATATCTTGTTAAACTAACTGCAGAGTTAAACTGGTAGATTTCAAGGAAATACTATTCAAACTAACCGTTACACTTAAGTTCGAAAATTTATCAAAAAATGTATGTTATCATGACTGAAATTCCTGCTAGACATTTCGAAATCGCTACAGATCTATATTTAACTAAGGAAGCTTATCCTTACGCTATATACAAAATTTCTAAAACATAAAAGATTTTTCCAACTTAATTTAGAACACAATTTAAGAAAAAAATTAGATTATACTTTTTTGGACACGTCCAGGCGGTATGAAACCTTTTTTAAATCAAAAAATTATAAGTTTAGGTTTAAATTTACATTTTTCTTTTAAATTGACTCCACGCGACACCCCACTTATTTTTAACGATTATAAACAATTTAATTCGAAAATCATATTTTAATAAAATATGTTTTCTGACACGTCAGTTTTCATCTCAATTTGTTTCGGCATAACGATTGTGCAAATGTGCAAGAATGAAGAAAATCATAAAAAAAAACTATATGTACTTATATAACAGTTATTGAAGTGACTTGCTGAATTTAATGAAGTGGTTTTCTGATCATAAATACCATCATTTAAAAAGAAATGTACATTTTGATCTAAAATTAATGATTAGCAATAAGTGTACGTATGTTTGTATGTAGAAAGCCCACGTAAGCATTAGTAATAGCAGAAATAGAAAGCAAAGCAAAATTTGTTAGAAACTAAGCTAGGCATATTCAATTCAGTCTTTCGCACAACGAGTACGAAACGAATAAAACACTCAAAGAAAAAAATTAAATATTAACCAACGCACCACTATAACATCATCATCGTAAATCATCACCAACGTCAGTGTTATAGAACCTAATAGAAACCATCGCCCATCAATGATCTTGGTCTCGTATCAACAGAGCCAACAATACACTTAGCTCTAAGGAAATTAAGATAAAAAATAAAAATTTTTAAATACCAAAAAAATTACGAAATACTAAGCAGCTAACATATTAAATTAATAAATATTATATGTAAATGCCGTACATTCGTATACCATACATAGAAAAAAAATTACAGTAATGCATAGCAAATTAGCACTAAGTCAGCTGTTTAGTTTGACAGCAGCCATTTTGAAATTTTTTGTTTAACTACATTTGTAAATATTAGCTGATATAAGCGCACATCAATAGTATTTGCATAAATTTATGCATTCAGCAAGTATGAATATAAAGGAGTAAGCGGAAAGAAATGTGTTTATGTTTAACACTTACTTGGGTGCCATGTCGCTGTAACGCGTGTCACGCACACCGACAGTTGGTGGCACACCGTGCGCCGTAGAAGCGACAGGATCCTCGTAGTATTCACGACCGCGTCTACGGTCTTTATTCTTTCGGCGCTTGTTCTTTGGCCCACTATAAAAAGTTAAAATGAAAGTGTATAGTTTTTTTTGCGTAAACAAACGGAAAAAATATGTGTGTTTAAAATGATAAATAAAAAACAAAAAACTTTTCAAGCTCAAAGAAACAAAATAAAATTATATAAGTTTTAGTTAAAAAATTCTTTGTTATTCAAGTTAATAAAATATTTATTAATAGTAACTTTTAATGATGAATACGATGGAAACATATTATAGAAATGCGATTTTCATGGTTTCAATATGCGTAATAGATTAAATCAAGAAAAAATATTACATTCGGTTGCACCGAAGCAGAAAGATTTTTTAAGAATAACATAACTTTATAATAACATTTTTATTTAGTTACAACTTAAAACAAAATTGAAAAATTGATTATATTATACAAAATTATAGCGTTTAAAAACAAAATGAAGCTCAAATTTTTAAAACGCAAAAATGAAATTGAAAATCTTAACAGCAAACGAGTTATAAAAATTAAATTTATTTACAAAAAATACAAAAAAATTATATGCAAAAGAAAACTAGACGAACAAAGAACTAAATCACGGCATACACAGAAACATAAAATATACAAATGTAATTAATATGCATAAAAACTGTTGATATATATTATGATTCACTTACTTTGCCAATGGAATATGATCACGTTCACTATATGCGTCATACAAATACTCCCTGAAAATTGGTAGTTGCAAAATTTTTATCAAATGTAAGACACAAACATTATGAAAAGCAGTGGGCATGCAAGAGGACAAATACAATGTGGATCAATATCAGTAAAATGGGATAATAATAAAGAGCATTTAGTTTGGTGGTATTTTTTATTTTAGAAAAAATGTAAATATATTATTTTTAATATTTAAAGCATAAAAAAGCTAAGGTTTATGCTACAGAACCAAATAACGAATAGTAAAAAAAGTATATTCGTTTCTTTATTTTTTGTTTGTTTCTTGTTATTACTTTCTTATAACAAATATATAAAAAAAAAATTAGTTGGTGAGTTTTTCTCTAAATTTTTTTTATAAACTAGGTAAAAAAGTTAAAAAGGTTTTATAAAGCCTACAAATAATAAAATTATTTTTGTTAATATATTAAAAATTTAAGGCATATTGTTTTATAAAAAAATAAAATAACAAAAAGTTAGTAAGAAAGGCTTAGCTTATTATTTTGAAGTGCATATAAAACTAACGGCATTATTATATATAATACATATAAATATTCGCTACATATTAGGATTTTGTGTAAGCTTTGGCACTTACGCTTCCACTAGTGGACCGGGATATGGGTCAGACTTCTGATATAAACTAGCCAACTTGACTGCAACCAGCAGCGTTGGCAAAAAGAGTACAACACATAGCACGGCACCAGACCAAAATCCATTCTACAAAAGAAAATTTACAAGCCGTTATTGGCATTTTATTTTAACATATGTATGTCAAACTGCGTGCGCTTACCAATGGATCTACAATTGCACTACACAGCCCCACCACACCAGAGTCATAGATATTCGCTAGCGGTGCACACAAGCCAATTTTCTTCTCCACGGCCACCACAACCATTTTCAAGTAGTTCTCAATTTCGCTGGCAAAATAGTGCGTCAAATTGACTGCGGTGTTCTTAACGAATTGCCGCCCATCCACGCGGAAGAATAACTGCGCACGCTCAATCTCACTGACCAGCAACGGTATGGACTCGTGGAATGGACGATCCTTATAGCGCAAACTTTGATCCAAGTCATTGGCTAACCGTATAAGTTCTACCGATTGATTTTTTATTGGTATTACCCAGTTTTGTTCATATGTCTCCAAATGTAATGCCTGATTGCGCAGACTAACCTGTACGTCTTTCATATCTTCACTTTTGTCAATTTTCTTTGCCGTCTGTCGCAATTCTTGAGCAATTTCTGTTAACGAATGCTTGGTGATGGTGTCGTTCAGATTGTCTATATATTGGGCGGAGTCGAAATTCTTCAATGCCGAATCGGCCAGATTGAGTATGCGTTGTTTATCCTCGGCACTTAAAATCTCGATATCGCTGTCGTCAAATGATATGCCATCTACCAGATCATCCAGTGTCTGATTGATTTTATATTGTGCTGGATAATCGTTAATTTCATGAATGTCAAAGCGGTTATGTATATGCAACACTTCGTAGATTGTTTGATTGCGTTGGCAGGCGGTGATCACGTGTGAAATACGCAGTGGTGGTAAACCACCCGAGGTCGGCTTGCCTTTGTTTTGCGGTGGATTAAGCACATTATTTAAGTCAATCGAGTTGTCGAATTGTGCGAATATCTCATCATTTTGAGGGTCCCTAAAATGAAAACGAAAAAAAAAAAACAAAAATTGTTAACAATCAAATTTTTTTTGTGCTAATGAAAAAGGCTAGTGAAAAGCTTGACTAACTTTAATGGAAGACATACGCCGCGATAGGCGATTAGACCGATCAAAAAGTGCACCAGTGTTACCAAAGCAATCAATGAAATAGACAGGAAAATCAGCGCTACAGCCCTGTGTAGATAAAATGTCATAAGTTAGCACAAAATATATATTAAAATAGGTGCACTGTGCCACTTACATCATAAGGAAGCGTGAACCTGAGCCTTTATTGCAGCAGTCATCGCCATAACCGTCCGGCCGTTTGCCACAAATGCCGCACAACAAAGCAGCGACCACGCAAAGCAAAATCTGTCAAAAATTAAAAATTTATAAGCGTGATTAAATTTGTTTTAATATCAATAATAAACACAAAAAATTACGAATCGCCATTGTGACTCACCAGTAACAATATTGAGCACACAGCGATGCCAAAGTAAAAACGATATGGTCCATATTCCTCTAAATAGTCATCGGCAACGCCGGTGTACTTTTTAGTATTGTCTTTAATAACTTGTGAAAGTTTGTTAAGTTTCATTTTGATTTCGTTTGAGGCGCGTTGGAAAGCATGACCTACGTAAGAATAGGTGTTAATTAGCAAACAAGGCTTGAGTAATGCTGGAGGGTGTCTTTAGTTGTTGCAAAATTGCACATACCTGCTTTATTTATGGAATCAATGATTTTGGGTGTATATTTTGCAATTGTTGTATTGAGATGTACACGCATTTGATTGAGTATATCACGTCCACGCTTGCCAGCCGAGGCTATATCCTTACTTATCAAGCTATCCAAATTGTCGATGATATCTGTTACATCCGGAAGCTGAGAAAATAATTTATTAATTATTTGTATTTAAATTAATGTTAAAATGTACATATCAATGTGCTTTTATATTTATAATTCTTATAATGATGAATTTAGATTGCTTTTGAAATTGTTTACCTTTGGAAAGTATCGGTCTACCATCTGATAGCATTGAAATAGATATATTTAAATGTTAAAATTAAATAGCAAAACATTTTTTCGAGCAAAACACATTCAAAGATAATCATATGAGGTTAATAATACTTCCACGTTGCGCCATAAACTCGAGCTTACATAGTTTTGGAACATTTTCATGTTAAAAGATAAAAACAACATCCAGTTTAGTTCAGTTTTAATTCCAATTTTGGTGAAAAAGCAAAACTCACAAAACCTTCAACTCGCGTTTTCGGCACAACGAACGTTCTACGAATTATTTATTTTTTATGATTTAAGTTCTAAAAATGTAGAAAAAAATTATTTTTGTTTAAAAAAAAGCAATAACTAACGAAAACTCAAGTCAAATTATTAATATCTTCATATGAATCTTCTTAACATTTTTAAAATAAATATCATTCTGTGCGTTAAGACCAAAAGAAAAATTATAAATATTTTGTTTTTTACTTAAAATTAGTCTGATTAAACTGGCAGTGTAAAAATAATAAACAATTTATATTTTATTATTAAAATGACTTTATGAAATATAAAAATTTGCACTTTTATATTTTTTATTGCTAAATATTTTTATTAATAACGAAATAAATAATATTAAATAATAAAATATAACTAAAAAATATTTAAGACCTTATACATAACTAAAATAATAAAAATTGGTTTTTAAAATTTTTTATTTTGTCCATTCTTTTAATTTTCTTTTAAGTTACATATATTTATATGCATATACTTACTTATACATATTTGTATTTATAGATTATTTACTCACTTTATTATGATTATAATACTTATTTATTTTTTTAAATTTTTTATTTTTCACTACTTATTTTTTAATTTTTCTTATTATTAAATTTTACCTACTTTTAATTAATGCTTCATATAATAAATATAAATTATGTCACATACCTGATCGTAGTGTATGCCGTTAGCATCAAGCTTTCCGATCTCATACTTGTTGAGCACATCCTGACATGCTTTGTTGTTGCATTTTGTCAGCATAACTAATAAATCACGTTTTACGCCACGCAAGCCTTATAAATAAAAAAAAAACCGAATATTTTGTAATTTTTTTAATGATATAAAAATATTTATTCGATAAAGCAACTTAGTACGAGCACAACATACCATTGCTCAACTGTGAAGCGTAAACGCGCAAATCGTTGGTGATGCTCTTCATCTTCTGTAATTTTAATCTAAGCTCTGGCAGTTTTTCAAGAAAGTCTGTTAGATAGATGAGCGAAACAGCCATAGATTTCTGCTCCAACTCTTTGATGATGAAACTCGATGTTTCTGTATAAAATTTTTTTAAAATTTATATAAAAAGATGAACCCATTCATAAGCAAGACAAAAATTACCGCGCATAATATTGTCCAACTGAATTGACAATTGTTTGTAGTTTTTGATGAGCACGTGATCGACCTGTTCCGATGTGGTTTCCAGAAATGTGCGCGTATCAACGCTGGCATTACGTACGCGATCTGTGCTTTTCTCAATACCCTGTTGCATATAACTGTTTGTTGCGAATGTGACTATAACACCGAAACTAAAGACAGGCGAAAGAAAAGAATACAATACGCAAAAAATTAGCGAAAATAAATACGGTGGGCAGGTTAACAGGAAATGTAAGCCACTCAACACAATACTTTTCTTCCGCTCAGATATTATATTTACATGCTTTGTAATAAATATGTAGGAATGTTTGCTTGCTTAGCATGTTTACTTGTACATAAATATTGATTGTGTGGCGTTTAGAAATGTGTGCTGCAATTAAATACAAGCTACTTACAGCAAACCTGTTGCCAATACTATAAGCAAGAATCCCAAGAACACACGGCGACAGGTGTCATGTTTCTTGTCAAACGGCTCCGAGCGTCCACCACAAGCGCCAGCGCAGCGACAACAGCAAAAGCATAAACTATTTGAGGGGGAAAGCGCAAAAAATAAAACATTTTACTTAGTAAGAACGCTTTGCATTTTTGTTTTTTTAATTTATTTTCATTTATTGTTTAACTAGAATTTTTAAGAGAGCAAATATATGTACGTGTTTTGCTTTCTTACCCAACAACTGGCATTGTAACAATTAGCAGGCCAACGAGCAAGACAATTAGCCATATAAGCCAATAATGTTTGAATAAATCAATCCATTCATTGCGTTCGACTTTCGGTCCGAATTCTATGTCGTTTTCCTTGACTACGAGGTAACCTGTAAGAAATAAATTTAATTGTTAGATTAATATTAAGTTTTCCTAAGAGTTACCATATAGGTATAACACCTAAAGCTAATCAAAACAGTTATAAAGTGATGTATATCACAATAATCAGATTGAGGAAACGAGTTTAATTCGCGATGGTTATCTATCCGTCCGTCCGTAGCGATGCGTTTCATAATTTGTGTTGAAATAGAGATACCTAGATAAAACTTTGCTTTTCGGCGCATTGAGAAAAAGAGATTTAGATAGTAAAATTAGATAATTGGCAAAAATGCATAGTGTATACTACAATAACAACGTAATGAACAGAGCGATCTCGTTCATATTTGGTACAGGGTGTAACTGAGAAATCCCGTATAAAGTTTTGAAGCCCATACTAATACGATTTCTCAAATTGAACCATGAGTGTGACCCCGCCAACTTTGAGGTGAAATATCACAAACATAAAAGAGTGAAAACGGCCAGTATTAATTGTTTACTCCTATACCGTGTGTGAGTATTTTACATCTTGAGATAGAATTTCTTATTCCCTCTTAATGGTTATATTTACTTGCAAGTCGAAAGTAAATGTATGTACTTTAATAATCGGTGATTCATTGTGAAAAATTGTGGATTCAGTGGATCCCGTATTCGATCTCCGAAAAAAGGTGAGGAAGATTGTTCAGCTTAAAATTGTATATATAATTGTATATAATATATTAATACAGATAATGATCAAGGGACTGGCCAAATTTTGATTATTGACCAAATGGTGGCTTTCCAAAATATTTCATGAGTATCTACTACTCGATTCTACACGAACTTTGCCCTTCCTCATTTGTTTCTAATTATAAATGACAATTAATTGAAATAAGCATTCGCTTACCTTCTGGCAGTGGATGTTCACCGGTAAAGAACCAAATAATTTTATGTGTGATTTCGTAAAGTGGCTGCATGCCACGCGCATTATATGCGGTCGAGCTGACGTACGTGACATTTTCGTTCCATTCCGCGTAGTTTGTCGGCTTGAGATTCAGCTCGTTGCCCAAATCGAAGGCTTGCGTCTGGCTGGCCCAAGTACTCAAGGCCAAGAGCACAAAAAGCGCACTCCAGCCTGAGATATGGCAACATGTATGGTCGCTTGTATGGCGTTGCACTGTGCGATTGCCGGCTTCCATTGGCAATTTCACAGCTTTTGCATTTATAGTTTTCTGTGTTTTCAGTGTTTTTTGGTGCATTTTGTGATCTTCGAATGTTTGCAATTTTAGCGGGAGAAAGTGTAAAGCAATCACTTTATTTGCTATTTGCTATTTGTATTTAAAACATGAATCCTTTGGTGTTTTGTTTCGATTGGTTGTTGTTATTGTTGTTTTTGATTTTAATTTTTCACATCAATGAGCAAACACAAATTTTCAATATGAATTGTTCCAACGCTCTTAATGTGCTACATTTGTATATTGTTGTTCTTGTTGTTGTTGTAGGTATTCCGTGCAATTAATTCGCAAGTGCATGTGTGATCCAATGACTGTCTGGCTGACTGTTTGACTATACGTATGACTCTTTGATAGCTTATGTTGCTGTAGATTTGGCACACACGAACTATGGATGCGCTCGGTATTTGCCGTTACGCTTCAGCAATTAACTACAAAATGCAAGTGCTGCAAAGAAATGAAGACAAAATCAGTTATTAATTCAATTCATTCGTTTGAAACAACCAATAAAATAATCAACTTATTACGTTTGTAAGCACGTGTGTGTGTGCTTGTAGATAGCACCGGCACTTATGAACGTACAAAGTATTTTTAGAGGTGATGTACACCAGTCTCAAGTGTCTCTTTAAATTTCAACGTGACACAATTCAAGTAAAAAAAAACCACGAAGACACACACATACATACATATAAGTGATTTGTTGTTGTGTAATTGCATTAGTAACTCTTAAGCGGCATTTATATGTAATAAGTTTAAGAGGAATTTTTTAATTTAAATTTCTTTCAAGAAACTGATAACAAATACAATGGGAAAAACCAACAAATAAAAAAGGTCGAAATTCGGGCGAAACCAAATATTGATAAGCAGTTATTATTCACGATTTTACGCCATTATTCCAAATACAACTAATATTGTTCCTCAAAACTGCTGCATTTTGTCCTTTTTTACCCTTACATAATTCGAATTTGGGATATGCTTCTCAATCTTTAGTAGGCCTAATAGCTCAAACAGTCACCGACATTCCTCCCTTCCGTACTTATCGACCGTATCAAACCAAATTTGTTAAAAGTTATGCACGTAGTTGTTCTCTTTTGTTTTCATTTCACCAATGTTGCCATTGTCCTATTTGTATACACGATTTTTCACACATTTACTTTTTTAGTTATAATTTTTCATAATGTAAAAGCTTAAAACTAAAATCCAACTATTAAAAATAGTTTACCTATTTATAAAAAAGTGTTTTCGACTGTGGTTTTGAGAAATTTTAAGAATATTTCAAATATATTCAACTTTATTTTTAAATTACTACAAAGTATAGAGACTGGCAATCCTGCGTTGCAAGAGATTGCTCTCTCACTCTCAGCTCACTTGTTTCTACGGGAAAAATCCAATTTTCGCGGATATCCTACCGTACGGTCTGTTGAAGCGGACGGTAGAAGCGGTGGTGACAGATCATTTACATTGCGCTCTCATAAGATAGGTCGTATCAGCTGATTCGGGACACGGTTTTGCGTCGGTGATCGTTTGAACTATAAGCTCCAGCGCATTTTCGAATTATACTGACACTTGCTGATTTATGCTAACGTATTAACGAATGCTGTATTCTTCTCTGTTAAGCATATCTTCAGTTATATAGACCTAATTCACACTTCTCACAAGTACTTATTTTGATGCTCGTCGAACTTCTTGAAATAGTGCAATTCTGCTCTTCTTCTCTGTTTCAATACTCTCAATAAAACCTTACCCATACTCAGCAATTCGAAAAAACCCTAGGTTTTAATGACACATACTCTCGAATGTGTAAAATAACAGTTAGGCTAAAAGTTTCGTACTATAGGAGCTTTTAGAATTTAATTATGTCTTGTAGTTAGACATAACTTTCAAAAGGCACTTGTGACCATTGGTTCGTGATATAAATATAGCATTTTGGGTAAAGCAAAGACTGGAAAAAAATAATTAATGTGTTCATAAAACGCTAAGTAGCTTGAAGAATGTTAGACGGGCTTGACGCCAGGCGAAGAAACAACACATAAATGATTATAAGAAATTGCTTCCGTATGCAACAAATACGTTGGATCTGGTACCCGGCGACCTTTTCTTATTCCTAAACCTAAATAGAATGGTGGCTGGAAAGAAATTCTGTGACAAAGAAGAGTTAACGAGCACACCTAATGCGACTTAAAAAATTTAAAAAAAATACTGTATCGATTGTCGAAATTTTAAGATTATAAGTATTTATACAGTTTTTGAGAATATACATTAATAATGTTAAGAAAAAAACATCAATATTTAGGGAGTTACACGCGATCTCCAATGGTGCTAAGCAAAGGTCAACCACTGCTGCAGTGATTGCGGCCTTCTCTGTGTATGAAATCTAAAAAAATACTACAACGACTAGAAGATATTGTCCGTAATTTCATACTTGGTGTGCACCCACGACAAAAATTTGTCAAAAGTGTTTTAACTCGTAGTGTCAAAATCAGCCGTTATGTTTTGTTTTATTTTACTTTTATGTTTCAAATTTTTCAAAGATTTCAACTATGATTCAATTATATATTTCAACCAATGAAAATGCGTCTTTTTAGTGATAACTGACTACGAATAAATTGTAAATCACACAAAATCATCAAAATGTGAACAGAAAATTCATGAGAAAGACAAAAAAACATTTTTTCTTGAGATAATGCATTACATTTTTTTTTCGTAAGAGGAAGCACGCTGCGTAGTAATACAAGTTAGAGTATCGCTACATTCGGAGTACGTTTCTTGATGTCACTTCTCAATTTTTTATGAATAAAGATTCTTATAGGACAAAAGTTTATCACTATGCATACAGATATACAAACATACAAAATTACTGATAATTAAAATTGTCTCATATTTTTATGTGATGCAATAAAGTTACACACGCACACATAAAGCTTTGTCAGCAACAGTTTATATGCAAGACTTTTATTGTCTTGTTTACTTGGCAAACAACAACAAACCGGGTGAATTCCTGAGAGACCGGCGTATGATATGCGTAATAAAGGTAAAAAATTCAAGCGGCTGTAAATATTTGCGCACACATTTTTAACTGTAAGTGAGTTTGATGAAAAGCGATTCGTAAACACGTGTTTAAAAGCATAATTATGTCGTCAGAATGTGTAATAATGCAAATAAGGCGCTTACACCTATTCTACTACACACACAAATATATGTAAATATTTGGGCAAGCCTCACTCACTGTCCGCTTGACTTTGGCGGCCAATTAAATTATGCATTGTCTGTTTGTATGTGGTTAAAAGTCACAGCTTTAATTGAGTAACAGACGCATCTTAACACAAATATGTACATATGTACAACAGATGTAAATATGTTCAGTAACAATATGTAAATTCACACAAATAACTGTAGATAGGTATGTATGTAAGTATGTATGTGTGTGTGTGAATAGTTAATGTCATTCACATTGAGGAATAACTACTGTAAAATTGTCACCAATAAAATTACTCCCTATTGTTGAACCTCATGAATCACTTAACAAACGGCAGAGCATACACATACAGACTCCCACAGAACTACCAGCTAGACATTTATATACATACATATCTAGAAACAACAATTCAAATAGTCATCAACGGGAAAAAAAGATCATTAGCAGTGTAACCACGCTCTTTCATTTATCTTTGTGTTTGCAGAAATTGTGGTTCATACATACATATGTACGTGTATTAAGGGGGTTTCAAAAAGGGTATCACCTAACTTAATTTTGGTGCGGAATTAATATAGGCTAATTAAGGAGCACACCTCCTTAAAATTAAAAAAATAATTTTTTTTATCATATTTCGTTTGGTTATATCTTTAGAAATAACATACTACTTGAAATGATGAAATGATCTTAATACTCATCGTGGTTTGCCCAGAGTTATAACTAGCAAAGACTCATAGATATTAGTTCTGATTCGAAAGCAAAGCGAAATGGTCCCAATTATAGAGCACGGAAGAGCCATGTTAAAAAAAAAAAATATTGCTGGAAATAGTCTAATATTACTTACCATAACAAGGTCGATAATTAACAAGATAACAGCAGGATTTAAAGGCAATTGTTCAGCGACATCTTCTTTGGAAGGTTGCGCATTTTTTATGAGCCACCTTGATAGCTTACAACTTTTTATAAGCTTAAGATATGCATATGTAAGTAGAACCATATCAAATATATTTTATATTGACATGCAAAGTAAAATTTAATGTAAGCTACGCCTAAACGATATTTTAGATCTTTAGAGACCTTTTTTAACATAGCTTAAAATACTTCACATAGCATTAATATACAATACTTATATTTTTTTTCAGTTTTGATTTCATATTTTATATTGTTTTCAATATTTTCATTTCTTATGATTTCAGAAAGATATTTAATGTCTTTGTCAAAATGGATCATTGTTTAAGGTAAGTCAAACCAGTGAAGAATCAGGTCAACCTAATGTACTTCGGCTTACCCACATGTTTGGATATAAATGCTCATAAATATTGTAGATTTGCAGCTTCACAAGCACACAGCACGCAACATTTGTGGCACTGCATATGAGTCGTATTATTATTAATTTATTATTTGCTTCCTAAAAAGCGACAAAAACATAAATACATAGAAACATGTGTTCGAACTTGCTCTCTCGTATGTTTGGTATTATAGATTGTACCCATATATACATATATACATACATATGTACATATATACTCGAAGGGAAAGAGAAAGACTTACGTTAATGGTTTTAGCTCAGCAAATTGATGAAATAAACACGCAACTAATTGAAAATTTCACATTTGCAACGAGATTGCACACATAAGCATTCCCATAAAGGGTGTGGTGCGAACATTTATTATTCATTTTTTAGTTTTAATGATTTTTTTTTAACAAGACGGAATTTGCGTAAAGCCGAAAGAATTGGTAAACACTTCTTTGAAATGATTTCAATGCCGTCATTGTTCGCAGAAAAACCATTGGAGCAGGAAACATTTTATCAGCAAAACATTTCAAAAGCTTACACATACTAAAATGATTCAGTTTCAGTTTTGAACTTAAGTATCTGTAAGAAAGTTGTTATCGCCAATTAAAGTAGAAAACAAATTTATTTAGTAAACGTTTGAGTCAATTACAAATTAAAAAAAATATATTAAAACAAAGACTTTTTTAATTAAAAATTAGTGTTGACTTATTAATTATATACCAAGAAATTATATCAGATATTTTATTCTATTATCTATGCACACATAAATACGTTTCTTTATATTTATACAAACCATACTTGTCTATTGATAAGCAAATAACCGAATGAAGCACTTTCTATAATTAAACAAACAAATTGTTCATCTTGGCTATTGACAGTTTAAATGTCGCATAAAATAATGGCATTTTACTATAGCAACAATAGCGGTGTTCTCAGAATGTTTAAAGTCAACAATTT